TCCGTCTAATCATCATCAGAGCATCCCCATCACACGCACACACACACAGAGGTATTAGTCATGTAGTCAAAGCTGCAAGTCGACAGCACGCCCTTGGGGTCAATTCGGCCCCGGAATCTTCTCGGCTTTATCAGTCTCTCTTGTAATAATCCACACGCAACAAGACAGACAATGGCATCAGCTATGCTCCACGTAGTATATATATATACATACATACATACATATATATACGCACACACGCATACCAGTCCAAACTCGAAACCCTCCGTTATTATTTGTGACTGGGAGCTGATTGAGCAGTCCAAGAAGCAAGGATAAGGTGGGTGGACGTGGACCGCCGGAGGGAGGGGAAGTGAGGAAGGAGCCGTCAGCCTTGGCCATGGAGGGCGGCGCGCACGAGTTCGACGGCTCCACCTTCAAGGAGTGCTTCTCCCTCTCGTGGAGGAACCCCTACGTCCTCCGCCTCGCCTTCTCCGCCGGCATCGGCGGCCTCCTCTTCGGCTACGACACCGGTGCGTGCGTGCGCCCGTCCTTCTTCCTGCCTGCCTGCCTTTGTCACTGCACTTTCATTTCTTCACCTGCCAAATTCAGCTGAAGGAAAGATGACCCTTTTTGTTCATGTGTATGTAAAATCGAGTTCGAGACCTTTTTAGAGCTCGGATGATCGATCGTGTACAAGTAGCGCCCTATTCATTTGAGCTTGTTTGACAGTTACTGATTCGGTGCGAGAGAGAACGGCCAAACAAATCCAACCGAACATGACGTAGATAGCCGGCTATTGGTGGCCGAACTGTTTTAAATTTCAGTAGTATCTGCAGGAAAAGTGTTCGACAAGATCGTGTGTGAGTGAGCAAGTGACCAGTGACGTGAGCTCTGCTTCTGTGTCTGTGTGTGTGGGTGAGTGCAGGTGTCATTTCGGGAGCTCTGCTTTACATCCGCGACGACTTCGGTTCAGTGGACAGGAACACATGGCTGCAGGTAAGATAATCCAAGAAAAAAAAATCAATCCTGGCGCGATTCGACCAATTGGCGACGAGAAACAATGCGGACTGAGGATCGCTGGCGCAGGAAATGATCGTGAGCATGGCGGTGGCCGGCGCGATCATCGGCGCGGCGATCGGCGGGTGGACGACGGACCGGTTCGGGCGGCGGACGTCGATCCTGGTGGCCGACTTCCTCTTCTTCGCGGGCGCGGTGGTGATGGCGTCGGCCACGGGCCCCGCGCAGCTGGTGGTGGGCCGCGTCTTCGTCGGCCTCGGCGTCGGCATGGCCTCCATGACCTCCCCGCTCTACATCTCCGAGGCGTCGCCCGCCAGGATCCGCGGCGCGCTCGTCAGCACCAACGGCTTCCTCATCACCGGCGGCCAGTTCCTGGCCTACCTCATCAACCTCGCCTTCACCAAGGCGCCGGGGACGTGGCGGTGGATGCTCGGCGTCGCCGCGCTCCCCGCCGTCGTCCAGTTCGGCCTCATGCTCGCCCTCCCTGAATCCCCCCGGTGGCTCTACAGAAAGGTAGGGGTACTGTACTAGGTCCCATTCGCCTTCTCTTCTTTTCTTCTCTCCGGCAAGAAAAGAATAAAAATGCAATTTTTTTGCTACGAATTGTAATGAAACAGGGGAGGGCGGAAGAAGCAGAGGCGATCCTGCGGCGGGTCTACTCGGCGGAGGAGGTGGAGCGGGAGATTGGGGAGCTGAAGGAGTCGGTGGCGGCGGAGGTGCGGGAGCGGGGGTCGTCGGAGAAGGTGAGCCTGGCGGCGCTGGTGCGGACGGCGACGGTGCGGCGGGGGCTGGTCGCCGGCGTGGGGCTGCAGGTGTTCCAGCAGCTGGTGGGCATCAACACGGTGATGTACTACAGCCCCACGATCGTGCAGCTGGCCGGGTTCGCGTCCAACCAGACGGCGCTGGCGCTGTCGCTCGTCACCTCCGGCCTCAACGCGCTCGGCTCCATCGTCAGCATCTACTTCATCGACCGCACGGGCCGGAAGAAGCTGCTGGTCATCAGCCTCGTGGGCGTCATCCTCTCGCTTGGCGTGCTCACCGCCGTGTTCCACGAGACCACGTCCCACTCCCCGGCCGTCAGCGCCGCAGAGACCGCGCACTTCGACGGCTCGCTGACGTGCCCATCCTACCGCTCCTCTTCCTCGTCGGCCGGCGGTGGGGGATTCTGGGACTGCACCCGGTGCCTCAAGGCGGCGGGTTCGAGCGAGTGCGGCTTCTGCGCGTCGGGCGCCGGCAAGCTCCTCCCGGGCGCGTGCCTGGTGTCCAACAACACGGTGCGCGACGCGTGCCACGGCGAGGGCCGGCTGTGGTACACCCGCGGGTGCCCGAGCCGGTACGGCTGGCTGGCACTGCTGGGGCTGTCGCTCTACATCATCTTCTTCTCCCCCGGCATGGGCACCGTGCCGTGGATCGTCAACTCGGAGATCTACCCGCTGCGGTACCGCGGCGTGTGCGGCGGCGCGGCGGCCACCGCCAACTGGGTGTCCAACCTGGCCGTGGCGCAGTCGTTCCTGTCGCTCACGGAGGCCATCGGGACGTCGTGGACGTTCCTCATCTTCGGGGGCCTGTCCGTGGCCGCGCTCGCCTTCGTGCTTGTCTGCGTGCCGGAGACCAAGGGGCTCCCAATCGAGGAGGTGGAGAAGATGCTCGAGCGCCGCGAGCTCAGGCTCAGGTTCTGGGCCCCACGACGTCACGCCGACGCCGACACAGATGGCAACGGCAAGGAGAGTGGCAAGAACGCTGGCGTCTGAGGCTGTTTGCTCGAGAGCACTAGGCAGTACATTTTGGGAGTAGACGCCGTCTGACATGACAACTTCGTGAAATTCTGCGCTTGATGCTGTTGGGGAGAAATACTATAGCGCTGGTTGATAACCGTGTTTTTGTGAGGAGAAGCAGCCAGCTGGTCTTGGAAAAAACAGACCAGCGAACGCAGCCACAGGTGAATCTCTTGGCTTCTAGTACACTGTCAGTCTCTTGTGCTGCACCGTGCGATGCGGTCGCAATCTAGCTGTGTCCCTTCTTGTGAAACCTACTACTCGTATGTGACAACTTCTATCGAAGACGGGCAGAGCTGTTTCAACAACGACATTATTTGAAGCTTTAAACTCCAGTAGGTACTAGGTAGTAGCGTCGAATTCCTTTCTCATTTTTGTGTTTCTGGAGGCTGTTTCTTGTATATTGTAACTCAAACTCTGCTTTCTACTTAACGAAAAGGCAGAACGCCTGCAAAGATTGCTCTAAAAAAATTTCCCACGGGTGAAGAAAAACTATTTTGGTAAAGCATCTGGCAAAAAATCAACTCCCCATGGTAGCTAGAAAGAACGAAATGACCATAATGTCTTTCTTTTTTTTCCTCCTTACCTATTTCTTCTTCATCTTCTCTCTTCTTATCCTCTCGACCCCCGATGCGCCTGCCTAGCCCCTGGTGACCTGGCGGCCATCCCTCTCTGTGCCTTGCTCCTGTGACCCGATGCCTTGCAGCTTCAACCGTGCCCTCCCTGCTCGGCCTAGGGGCAAATCTGACCACCTGGGATGCTTATGACCACTAGAGTGAGAGGGAGCAAGGAGAAGTTGGTATTTCCAGCTCCATCCGACGACCACCTCTGTGAGACCGGATTGTTAGGGACTCCGCTGGTGGAGCTGTTTGAAAATCATCGAATTGATAAGAAAACTTCAAAACTGCCAGAGAAGCTATACAAAACGGGACCTAAGTACTCTGTACTTTCAAATCATATAGGCTTTACTAACAAAGTATATTAAAAGTGTATTAGTTTCCTGTTAACCTGACCGCTAGATTCAATTGTTCGACTTAGTAACTCGTATTTTCATTGTTGCCAATCTTCAGATGTGACGGTTATTGAAGTGAAGAAAAGAAAAGTAAAAAGAAGCACTCTCCAAGCCCAAATGGCGTCTAAACTGGGCCTTATATGGCCCAACATAAAGCCAAGCCCAGTTAGCTTCCTCTATTTCAACGACGACATCATTTGAAGCTTTCAACTCCAGTAGGTATTAGTATTAGGTAGTAGCGTCGAATTCCTTTTCTCATTTTTGTGTTTCTAGAGCCTGTTTCTTGTACATTGTAACTCAAACTATGCTTTCTACTTAATGAAAAGGAGGAACACCTACGAAAGCTTGCTCTAAAAAAATATACCCACGATCAACACCAGAATTTCTTAATTGTTGGATTTGCATCTAGCGGCTCACACTTCTTACGCGGTCCCACTTCTAACTCTCGGTTATAAGAACCTGTTTGTCATAGCTCTGCTTTACTGGTGGAGTAGTATTTTTTTAGTTCAACTCCACTAGCGAAGCAAAACTGTTTTGATAACATGTTTGGCAACAACTCCCTATGGTAGTTAAAAAGAATGAAATAACCATAATTTCCTTCTCTTGTTTCTTTAGTTTTTCCCCTTTTCCTATTTCCAGGGACTCTACTTGTGGAATTTTTTGAAAATTATCAGATTGGTAAAGAAAAAGTTACAAACAACTTATGAAACTGCTAGAGAAGTTGTACCAAACAAAACCTAAGTACTCTATATTTTCAAATCATATTGGGTTTGATAACAAAGTATATTAGTTTCTTGTGATGTAACCTGTTCACTAGATTCAATTATTCGACTTAGTAACTCGTATTTTCAATTTTGCCAGTCTTGAGATGAGATTTTTTTTGACAAACGTCTTGAGATGAGATGGTTATTGAATTTGAATTGAAGAAAAGAAAAGTAAAAAGAAGCACGAGGCAGCTTTCTCAAAGCCCAAATGGACTCTAAACTGGGCCTTACATGGCCCAACAGACAGTCATGCCCAGCTAGCTTCCTCTATTTCGGTGGCGCCGCCCAGGCGCGCGCGCAAATTCCACATCCCCCTCGACCGAGTCGTCTCGCGCCAACCAAAGCGACGGCTCCTCTTCCCCGCAGCGGCGCAGCCCGGGGTTCCCCTCTCGTCTCCCATCAGATCAGTGAGCGCGCCCTGCGAAGATCTCCCCTCGCCGCGCCCTGCGGATGGCGACCAGCGACGAGCTCGCCCAGATCGACATCTCCAAGGAGGTACGCACGTCATTGCGCGCCTACCCTCCGCGCTGCGGAACGCCCGCCCGCTAGGTGTTCGACGGTTTGTCTGACCCACCGGTCCTGCAGGAGAAGGACAAGCTGGTGGCGGAGGTGATGCGCTGCATGCTCTTCAAGACGCACCAGAACTCCGACTGCCCCATCAAGCGTTGGTGCTCACCGGGATCGTCACAAAGAACTACCGCCAGCGTGCGCTGCCCACGCTCGTCATCAACGAGGCCAAGGACAGGCTCGCCACCACCTTCGGCTACGAGATGAGGGAGCTGCAGAGGACCCACGCGCCAGCCACGCGCTCTGGCCGCCCATCACAGCCGCAGCGTAAGGCCTCCTTTTTTCTCTCTTCCTGTTTTATGTTTTGTTCCTTTCCTCTGTATCTGTCATCACAGTGGTTACAGGCTGGCAATGACTGATGAAATTTCTGAGAAATGTCCTTTAGTTAACGTGGAGGCCAAGAGCTATGTTCTGATCAGCAACTTAGACCCTGAGGTGTACAGCAAGTACGTCGAGGACAAGGGCGCTTCCCATCTGTCTGGCTTTGCTTTCGCTGTCATTAGCACTATTCATCTTGCTGGTGGCAAAATGCCTGAAGGTAAGGAAAGGAGATCCAATTATGTTTGGTTAGGAAAACACCATGCTCTGATGTTCCTAAGTTGTTTCGATCACATTTCAGAGGACCTCTGGCATCAGTTGAAGCGGGTGGGTTTGAATGAGAATGACGAGACTCACCCTGTTCTTGGTAACAATAAGCAGGTGCTCGAACACCTAGTGCAGCAAAGGTTGGTTTGGTGTATGCTGTGGAATCTATAGTTCACTGCAAAAAATTTGGTTGCTTTATTGGTTCCCTTAAGGCAGGTATCTGCTGAAGGAGAAAGTTGCTGGACCAGAAGGCCATTTCATGATGTATGAGCTTGCCGAGAGGGCATTGGATGAATCCATCAGTGGGAAGATTAAAGATCATATTTCACAGGTTTGTAAGCATCATAATGTGGCGATAGCATTACACCTTTGAATCTATTAGAAGAACTGACTTTTTTAAAAGGAGTTTTACCTCTGCTTTTAGAAAGCAAATGAAAAGAACTGACTTTTCACAGTAACAGCAATGGCGATAATGTGTCTGGATAAGTAACAGCCATACAAACCATCATGCTTAGGTGTGATCCCAGTTGATATTACCATTAACTGTATTTACTGTATGTTTATTTTTGAACCAACATAAAGGATTTCATATAGTGTCATTACTCATGATTAAGATTGCCATGCCTTCTGGATTTCTTGCTTTTCCATCACTGGGGAAGTTCGTTTGCATTAATTTGCCTTAGCCATATGTATGTTAAGGACTATGGAGGGTTTTTTTTTTTCTGTTTCTACTGCCTAGTAGTGCACTTGTATTTATAAAACTGCAACCAATTGCGGATCAAAAATTTATTTCACTTCTGATAACAAGCAGTATAGAAGCAATCATCAGTATGGGAGCTTGACTTCCTGAATGCATTGGTAAACACTGAAATCAGATTCTAATGAGACCATGCTTGTGAAAGAAGTATCCTTTTTTCTTCTTATATTGTGAAATGTGAAATAACATTGTGTGGTGTCTGCTAAAAAGAAACCTCTTCTTTTTTTGTTCTTATTGTTGAGTAGGTTGTGGGTGCAATCTTGCAGAAGTAGACTGAAGTGGATGGATCTGACAATCAGTAGGTATTTCCGCTGCATCAAATATTTGCTTGTTTCTAGATCAAAATATCACTCCGGATGTCATTTCCTTGTAGGAAAATAATAAAGGTACTACTAGTAACATGTTTCTCTTATCCCTCAGCCTTGTGTTAGGACAAGCTGACTCTCTCAGGCTGGGAAGCTACCATCTTGCATGGATCCAGGCTTGTACTCTTCATGCAATTTTGTACAGGAGATGTGTACTTCACAAGCCGTGGCAACTTTGGTGCTACTATCCTTAATTAACTAAATTATGTGGAGGACATGCTGTTGATCATCACAGCATGCTTGATACTAACATTTGCAGTGACCTAATATCACAAAACAGTCAGCATATGTTTCCATCGTCATTGCAGGAACTCAATCATTGGATGCGTCGTCCAATCTCTGTCTACCAGAGCTTTCAGTGACCTAACCACAATGAAACCATAAGCCTGTAGCTCTGTGAGCCTATGAGGGTCACTCTCAAACGTTTCTCTGTGGCAATCCATATACCTGAGAACACTAACGCAGCATGCGTGCCTTTTCGGCTAGTCGTCTACGCGTCGACTCACTTTTCGTCAACCCAGTCACCACGCACCACATTTTCGACGAAATGCCAGCGCTTTTACTCCACAATGCTCGCCGCCTTAAAGCTTGTGGCGGCGACCAACGTCGTCGTCCTGTCCGTCCTAGTGGGTAGTGGCTGTTGGGTGGGGGACGGCTTCGGCTTCCTAGGTTGCGCGAGCTCAGTCCATACTCCATAGCACTCTGCGCCCTGCCACTGTCCAGCTGTTGGAGTCTAGTTCTTTCTTTCTTTGCCGCGTCTGGGGCAATGGCGTCAGGACTGCCGCGGTTCTTGCTCCCAGCGTCGGTCCTCTTCTTAGCTCTTCTTAACTTGCCGGCGGCGGAGGAGAGCGGCGCCGCGACGGCCCTTCTGGAGTTCAAGCGCAAGTTGCTGGACGTGGACAACCACCTCTCTACCTGGTCCAGCACGGGCGCGGACCCGTGTGAGTGGGCCGGCGTTGCCTGCTCCATTAGCGGAGAGGTGACTGGCGTCACGCTCCACGGCCTCAACCTCCACGGCGAGCTCTCCACCGCCGTCTGCAAGCTCCCGCGCCTCTCCGTGCTCAACGTCTCCAGGAACGCGCTCACTGGCCCCGTCCCCGCTGGCCTCGCCGCCTGCACCGCGCTCGAGGTCCTCGACCTCAGCACCAACTCCCTCCATGGTGCCATTCCTCCGGAACTCTGCTCGGTGCACAGCCTGCGCCGGCTCTTCCTCAGCGAGAACCTGCTTTTTGGTAGGATCCCGGAGGCCATCGGCAACCTCACCGACCTCGAGGAGCTGGAAATCTACAGCAACAACCTCACCGGCAGGATCCCCAACTCCATGCGCGCGCTCCAGCAGCTCCGCGTCGTGCGCGCGGGGTACAACGACCTCTCCGGCCCTATCCCCGTCGACCTCACCTATAGCGCGAGCCTCGAGGTGCTCGGGTTCGCGCACAACCACCTGAACGGGACGCTGCCCAAGGAGCTCTCCCGCCTCAAGAACCTCACCACATTGATCCTCTGGCAGAACTACCTCTCTGGCGAGGTGCCGCCGGAGCTCGGCGACTGCACGAACCTCCAGACGCTCGCCCTTAACGACAACGCCTTCACCGGCGGCGTGCCCAAGGAGCTCGGGGCGCTGCCGTCACTCTCAAAGCTGTACATTTACCGGAACCAGCTCGACGGCACCATCCCACCGGAGCTGGGAAATCTGCAGAGTGTCCTGGGGATTGACCTCTCGCAGAACAAGCTCACCGGCGTCATCCCCGGCGAGCTCGGTCGCATACCCACGCTCCGGCTACTCTTCCTCTCCAATAACTCTCTGCAAGGTAGCATCCCACCGGAGCTGGGAAACCTGCAGAGTGCCCTGAAGATTGACCTCTCGCAGAACAATCTCACCGGCGTCATCCCCGGCGAGCTCGGTCGCATACCCACGCTCCGGCTACTCTTCCTCTTCGATAACTATCTGCAAGGTAGCATCCCACCGGAGCTGGGAAACCTGCAGAGTGCCATGGAGATTGACCTCTCTGACAACGTGCTCACCGGCGTCATCCCCGGCGAGCTCGGTCGCATACCCACGCTCCGGCTACTCTACCTTTTCGTTAACTATCTGCAAGGTAGCATCCCACCGGAGCTCGCCCAGCTTAGCAGAATAAGAATGATTGACCTGTCCGGCAACAACCTCAGTGGCACAATTCCGACAGGGTTTCAGAACCTGAAATGGTTGGAAGTTCTGCAATTAGCTTACAACGACCTCCATGGCGTCATCCCTCCATTGTTGGGGGCTAATAACAGCCAACTCAGGTACCTCGACTTGACAGACAACCAGCTGACGGGGAGCATCCCTCCTTACCTCTGCAAGCACCAGAAGCTCAGATTCTTGTATCTCGGATGGAACTTCCTCGTCGGCAACATCCCTCCAGGAGTGAAGGACTGCACTACTCTGACGCGTCTCTGGTTGGACAACAACATGCTGACCGGAAGCTTGTAGGGCGGGCAATCTTGTTGTTTGCTCGCTCCCTCATCGATATGTCTAAGATATGTGTGTGGGTTTACATCAAACCTGTATACCTAATAAGTAAAAAGAAAAGGTACTCATAGTGCTATTCGGTCCATATGATGGTACACATATATACACAGAAGAGATCTTCTACGCTATAAATTAAAAGCTGACGAGAAAGCATAAAAGTGTCTCAACCATACATATTGTATCTCAAATACTAAGCTTGTATCTCTCAATGCCAACTTTGAGATGCACAGCCGCCCGAGACCGAGGTGCCGAAAGGCCGCCGCCGGTGTCTAGCCGGTGTCATTTTAGGTTGCCTGGTACTTTAGCAATAGAACTAAACTCCTGCACTTTGGTTTTCCTTGAAGGCTCGGCTCGCCGAGGGAGCCTCAAGGGCGTGAGCGAGCGCTTCGCGTGTTGATATATTCTCGAATTCTCGAATTTTCTACCTTAAAATACAATGATGCACACTCTTGTGTGTATTCGAAAAAAAACTGAGATGCATGCTCAGTCGCTACTACATTGACTATGCTTGAATTTTAAAAGATGTATTATTAATATGTTTGATTAATAAAAAATACTTATATGTTTATTTTCTATAAAATAGACATAATAGAAACTTTGTAGTCTATATCTAATGATCAGAAACTTTTTTTTGCAAGGGTCTGACTTATATATTTTTCATGTACATTCATATTTTTACTTTGCATGGCACCCTTGTCTATTTTAATATGCAATTAGTTTGCAACCTTGCCATTAACTATGGTGACTATCGTTGCATCACATATATGAAGTCATGAATCTGAATTTTGATCTTTTAACTTTATTTTTATTGACTCCTACAGATTTTTTTCCTCAAGTTAAAACTCTTGTGCTTATTGTATCTTTTACTGACTCTCATTTTGGACTGTTTTAAAATAAGGATTTTAGGTCGTATAGTACATTCCTAAATACTACAATAGCATATGCAATCATTTGAAACTTGCACCATATCACCTAAGATAAGTGATAGAGCTTGAAATGAGATCTCGGATGGGGTTAGCAGTACTAACCTCAAGAAAATTTTAAATCTTATTAAGCCTTATAATGATCGAATTACTCTAGAGTAGTGTTAAAGGGTAAAAAAATATAGCCATCAGTGGTCTCCCACAATTAGATGTGCAATTATGGTTATACTATCAATATAGATGTCTCAAACATTTAGTTAAAATATATAAATATAGATAAAGTAACAACCTATATAAATCATGTCATGGTTACTAATATGGTTTTAAAAAATTTGTTAGCATCATTAGTATATGAGTTGTTAAGGAAATATTCTGTTGATGAAACATAACATATATATTTATCGCTCATGCATGTTGACACAATGTGTATGCTTACATTAATTAAATATTAATATATTAATATTGATAGAAGCGCATAATGTACAAACATCTGCATGCTCTATGGTTATTTAAACAATTTTTAATAGAAGATATTGATTATTTTTTAGATTTTTGAGAGGATATTTAATTTTCTTAGTAATGAGATGAAAATTGGGTTACATAAATTATTTATTGTAATAGGAGTACATGGGTAATCAGATGCAAATTTAGGTCTACTTTAGATCATATTACTTAATGGCGTATGTCGGTAGTTTAAATATAGAGTCATGAGTAATTTTATGTTGTTTTATGTACGTAATAGCAGAGGTGGGTAATTATTTCGAAAATAAAATAGATCCAATAGTTATTATTATCACCGGTGATTAGGTTATACCGAATAGATGGTCAAATATTTCAGATTTTTGTGAGAAACTTCTAGGATCTATCTTTTATTTTCCTATTGTGTCATGTGAGGATTAACGTGGAGGCTCCATTAAGGACCTCTACTTAGCATTTCTATTATTTATCATTTTTGTAGCATGACATGCATTTAGTTTAAACCTAATCATTAAGATATATAAACTCTTATTTGCATCCCTTTTTGTGACTTCACGAATTATAATTTAGCTTTTGATTTTTAACCAAGTTGTATAATTTTTTTCCACATGTTAAGTAGAAACTCTAGTGTTTTTTATTTTTATTCTAAATTTATTTTTATAAAAAAGAGTTTAGGTCCTATTAATATTGTTTTCCACATGTTAATTAAGTTGAAACTCATATTGCACCCTGGCACCGAACTTGTTCAATTTGTTATATCATAGAATTATATGTGTAGTATCATTTTATATATCCTAGAGTAATAAAAATTAAATTACCATTTTTAAGATGACATAATGTTTCAGTTAAAACTTATAAAGTTATTTAAAAATAACTTATGAAATTCATTATTAGGGAGTATTAATATAGTTTAAAGGGAATTGCCGGTGTTATGTTATTGCTATGTGGTTTGTTAATTAAACATTTTCCATGCTTATAAGCTATTAAAATAATATATATATATATATATATATATATATATATATATATATATATATATATATATATATATATATATATATATATATATATATATATATATATATATATACTTGGTATACATGGTCAAACATAGCATTATGGTTATTTAATTTCACAGAAGTTTGTGATTTAGAAATATATGCCTCGTATATACATGGTCAAACATAGCATTGTGATTATTTAATTTCATAGTTCTAGAAGTTTGTAATTTAGAATTACATATGTCTCATACTTTATGAATATTGATTTTTTTGTAATAGCATATATTAATATTTACATATAGATTTGAGAGAGGTGAGTAATTTAGATGCAATGTGTGGGTGTTATTATGAATTATGTTTCATAATGAAAAATGGGTAATTTAGATACAAATTTAGGGGGTATTTTAAATTATGTTTCGTAATGGTCGGGGTGGGTAATTTATATGCAAAATTAGGGGGTTACTTTAAGTATTTTTCATAATGGCAGAGGTGGGTAATTTCTTTTATAAATAGATCCAATGGCTTTTATCGAAGATTATGATTAGAGTCTACCAAATTAAAGGCTAGATATTTCTGATTATTGTGAGAATTTCTAGGATTTATCTTTTTTCCTAACATGTCTGGTGAGAGTTAACGTGTTGCCTCCGTTGGGGCCTCTAATTAGTAATAATAATTAAGATAGTATTTACATATACGGGCAAAAAGCCTTTGCACAGATGGTTTGCAGCAAATGGTCCAAGGAAATGGTGTATGATGAGCCTTTGACATACTGTAGTACTATGCAGTCTATTTTGGATAACGAGAAATGGTGTAGTAGTATATAATAACATAGCATTGGGCATATATATGTTTGTGCATACCATGTTTACCAAATATATGCTATATTAAATATTGGACTGCAAAACAGCTTATGCATTGCTTAACAATATCACTTAGCATAAGGCATACTTAGCGTAAACGGGCTCACAAATGACTCATGCATGTATATGGTACGGTGCACGTGTTTAGTTATCAACATATCACGTGTAAACCAACCAACCTGTGCAAACTTAAAAACTAACAATCAGGATCACTGGATGCTGATCTAATGGATGGGGTGATGGGGCTTAAGCACAAAAAAAGGACGGCAGGTGGGGGGCTTAAGCGCAAAAAATCCCACCTCTCACCCCATTCATTGGATCAGCATCTAGTGGTCCTAATCGGTAGTTTCCAAGTTTGCACAGGTTAGTTTGTTTGCACCTGATATGTTGCCATTTCATATTGTCAATGAGTCTGCATTGCTCATGTGTGTATGGCTGCCTAGCCCACACTAAGTCATTCAATCCACAATAAGCACTAATCCAATAAATTAGTACCTTAAAAACATCTCCAAGAGATTTGTCAAAAAGACTAGCTAAATTTACTAATTTAGCTACTCTCTAAAATAGATTTGACAAAAAGATACTAGAGTACTCCAACAGACTCTGTAAAACCAAGAGGCTAGATGGCTAGTGAGATAGGCTATCCAAAAGTAGAGAGCGAATGAGGTGGGATGGACAGCTACTAAATTTAGAAAGTTATTTATAGAGCCTATTGGAGATGTTTTTTCTTTAATAATAGCCAAATTTACCTTTAGAAAACGATTTGGCTAATCTCTTGGAGATCCTCTAAGTTTGCATTAATTTGCATAAGTAGGAGCTCAAAGGTTGAGATATTAATCTTAAGGAAATATAGGCTTAAGAAATATTACCAAAAATAAAAAGGAACTTTACTCTCCAATTGAGAAATATGGATATACCACTACTATAAAGACAATTTTTTGGGAACTGACCACTTTTACTATAGAGGCGCTTCTTGATTAAGCCGCCTCTATAGTGCCCTGTGTAACGGTCCACCTCTGTAGATGCATCTTCAAAGGCGGCTCACTATCTAGTAGCCTCTACAAATGGATATGTAGGGACGTCTAGAGTTGCTAATTGCATCTCCACTGAAAATGCTATCATTTTCAGAGAAGGTTGGTAACTCCAGCCACCTCTACAGATCCCATAGTAGCGGTGGCTAGATAGCGAGCCGCCATTGGTATTCCTAAAGCTAATACTGCCTGGCCTCGTTCACTCTGCCTCGTCCTCTCCCAAAGCATCACCCACTTCGCCTCCACCAAACCCTTGCCTCCTCCTCCTCCAAGCCCTCTCCTCCTCTCCCCTCGGGTGTGCGGCAATTGTCGGCCGTCATGGGTAGAACGTAAAGACTCAAACACGCAACGCTCGAGGGTAGTTTTCCCCTCAAGCAGTGGTGGCGGCAGCGGCGGACTCGACTACATCCCGGTAGAAGGCAAGGTCCTGTACCTTATCTATTTCAACGAGTAGGTCAAGTTGTCCGTGATGCGCGTCACCCTAAATAGTGTGGGGGAGTCGTACGCCGCTGCTAGGAGGGGCAATGGTGCCGTGTCGAGAACCCATGCCACTGAGCAGGGCAATGGATCTACGGCATCGACGACCCGTGCCACCGGTCAGGGCAATGGATCTGTGCCGAGTGGGGTAGAGGAATAGCGACGAAGGAGCTATTGTCGTTGCTCAAGAAG